TTAAAAAAAAAAAAAAAAAGACTTGCCTGAGCTGCACAGTGAGACCCTGTCTCAAAAAGACAGAACCCCCACCCCAACACAAACTTTTGTTTCTGGATGTTATTTTTTTAATGCATATAGTTGTTCCAAAGAGAATTTTAAATTTATTTATTTATTTATTTATTTATTTTATTTTATTTTTTTTTGGTGGGGGGCGGTATCAGGGATCGAACTCTGGACCTGGTGCTTGCTAGGCAGGTGCTTATGCCACTGAGCTAGGGAATTTTAATTGTTTGACATTTTGTTTTTTGGAACAATGTTGCTGTTGGTTCAGGCTGGCCTTGAACTTGTACCAGTGTGCCTGCCTCAGCCTTCCAAGTGCTGGGATTACTGACATTTTTTTCCCCAGAGTTTTGCTGTATAGTTCAGATTGGCCTTGAACTCACTGTATACCTCAGGCTAGCCTCAAACTTGTGACAACCCTGCCCCCGCTTCCGAGCATGTGTTGCTTTGCTATATGGTGACCACTGAGTTGTATCCCTAGCCCTTGGGGTGTGGAAGGTAGCAGCAGTTGTGTCCATGTTCTCACCTGACATCGGTATCACTGATTTCAGAAATGTTTCCTGTAAATGTCTCTAAGGACATTTATTAAGCTGCACAGCAAAAATAGAAGGAAGCTTTGAATGGCTCTTTTCCTGGCTTCAGTCAAATCCAGGCAGCAACACTAAAAGTTCTCAGGTGTTGATAAAGTGACTTTTGGAGTGTTTCCTCCTCCATATGTGATTAGGTAATATGTGGTGTCTGTGCTGATCTCTTTTCCAAAATCTAGGTACATGTGGATACATGACTAAACTCAGGTGTCCTGGACCATGATCCTGTAGCCCTTTGGCTTAGGCACCCAGTCTTTCCTGTCTTCACCCTACTCCCATCCAGCCTGGACCTTCCCTCATCTCCAGGCCTGGGGTGGAAGGAGTTGGCTTCGTGGAGGTAGAAGGAAGCTGCACAAAGGGAAATTCCTCAGGACCAGGGTACGTTCAGGGTTGGAGAAGGAAGAACAGGTGCATCCAAGGCTGCAGGACACAGGCACCTCAGGGGACCAGGTAGTGGTTGAAGTTCTGATTCTCAAGATAGTCTTGGGCACTGCGTTTAT